CCCCCCCCCGCCATGGCTGCCACCTTCCACCCCAAGCAGGACACCTCAGACCCACCTGATCCATCCCCTCACCACCAGAGCAAAAGGCTTGTCCCAAGCCTCGCCAGGACACCTCAATCCTCACTTCTCCTCTTGGCTCCCATGAGGAGGACCCACCCCCAGCACCTGAAGCAGCTTGGGGCCCATCTTCCACCACACTCACCTCCCACACCAAGCCACAGAGGAAAGGGGAGTAGGGGATGCGGCTGCTGCTATTTGTAGTTCAGGTGCCTCAACAAGCACCGCCCCTTCTCACCAGCAACCAATAAAAGGTGGGTCCTGGGACATGCAATGGTTTGACATCAGCTGGTCCTTGTATAGTCCAGCCTGTGAGGCAGGGTGGGAATGACTAGGGGACGGGGTTACATTGGGCCAACTAGGCCCGAACTGGGGCCTGCAAAGCCCACTTAGGCTGGCTTTGGTCAGTCTGCATCTAGGCTCCCCCCTCCCCCGAGATAATGGCTCTGGCTCTGTGCCCCCCTAGACTCAGAGGGGCTGAGATGACCTCAGTGGCAGAGCCTTGGGTTGGAAGCAATCTGGGTTGAATGTAGGGGCACCTGTGCCAAGCCTGTCTGAGTCAGACAGCTTACCTGGGAGCTTGCTCAGATTTACCAACTCCAAACCCAGCGACCATTGATCTCTTGCCTCTAAGCAGGGGCACTTACTCTGCCTGCCTTGTGCAAATTGGTGAAATGCCAGCTCTGAGATTCTGGGATATATGCATTTTAATAGGCAAGAACTTCAGGATGATGACAACTAAATGAGGAGATGCATAAATGCCAGGTATTTCTTGTGTCTTACATACAAGTTCACACCTGTTACAGCTAGGCTGTGTCTACACTGGGCCACTTATTCCGGAAAATCAGCCGCTTTTCCGGAATAAGCTGCGAGCTGTCTACACTGGCCCTTGAATTTCCGGAAAAGCAATGATGCTCTACTGTACAAAATCAGCCACTATTCCGGAAAAACTATTCTGCTCCCAATCGAGCATAAGTCCTTTTTCCGGAACACTGTTCCGGAAAAGGGCCAGTGTAGACAGACCAGTAGTCTTTTCCGGAAAAAAGCCCCGATCGCGAAAATGGCGATCGGCTCTCTTTTCCGGAAAAGCGCATCTACATTGGCCACAGACGCTTTTCCGGAAAAAGGGCTTTTCCGGAAAAGCAGCCTGCCAATGTAGACGCTCCTTTTCCGGAAAAACTGAAAACGGAATAGTATTCCGTTTTAAGCATTTCCGGAAATTCATGCCAGTGTAGACACAGCCCTAGGGATGAAAGGTTAACCAGGTAACCGGTCAACATATGCCTTACCAGCATCTTTACCAGCTAACCAGTTAGCCAGAGCTTCCCCCACATGACAGCCCAGTCAGCAGGGCCATGATACGTTGCGGGCCTGGAGCAGCTCCTGTCATCCATGGTGGAGCTATGGCAGTCCCTGCCACTTGCAGCTGTGGTGGGGAAGGAGCAGCCCATGCCAGCCATGGCTGCAGCAAGCATGGCCCAGAGCAGCTCCCTTCACCCGCAGCTTGTGGTTGACTGGTTAAACAAACCATTTAACTAGTTAAACTATTCTGGGTGGTTTTTACATCCCTAGTTACAACACCCAAGAATATTATTTTTCCAAGATTATCACACTCTAGGCTCAAATTCAGTTTTTAGTCCCAGATAATTTTCAGCAGTTCCATTGCCTCACCAGTAATTTCCCATTTTGTAGCTGTGCATGTGATTTTTCCTTCATTAGTGAAGAATTTTGCACTTATTTTTATTGAATTTCATCTTGTGGATTTCAGACCAATTCTCCAATATGTCTAACTTGGTTTGAATTGTAATCCTGTCCTCCAAAGTGCTTGCAACCCCTCCTGCCTTGTGTCATCTGCAAATTTTATGAACATAGTCTCCATCCAGTTCATTATCCAAATCATTAACCAAAGGTTGTTTAGTACTAGACCCATGACAGATGCCTACTGAACCCTACTAAATATACTCTCCATTATCAGCGACTACACTGATAAATGCTCTTTGAATAGGGTTTTTAAAAGAAGTTGTGCATCCATCTTACTGTAATTTCATCTAAATCACATTTTCCTGTTTGCTTATGAGAATGACATATGGAACTGTGTTAAAAAGCCTTTCTAAATTCCAGGTATATCATGTCCACAGCTTCCCCCTCGTCCACTAGATCAGTAACCTTATCAAAGAAGCAATTGGGTTGGTTAGGCATTGATTTGTTCTTGACGAATCTTCCTCCAAATGTTTCTTGGAACTGTCACTGTCCCACCCAGTAGTGCTACTGGAGCTGTATCTACATGTGCTCAGACACTTTTGATCCTGCCTCCCTTAGCTACACGAATCTTGGATCCCAAGCATCACACATTTGAAACTATTGTAAGGAGAATCTGATACACACAATTCAATGTGTTTTTTCCACCTCAGGAGAGTGTGTACTAGTAAATAGTAGTGTCTGTGTTGGTGACACTGATTGTCCAAAGCCACATTTTGATTGTCTGGGCCTTTTTCTTGATGTCACAATATGATGTGTACTACAACACCACTATGCAGCTTTTAGCATTGTGTTCACACAGTCTTGTTGCTAAAAGTCAGCTTGTGTAAATGCTGTTAGTGGCCACTGTTGCTGAGTTAATACTTCCACCTCATATGAAGGGGTTTCGCTTTGTTGGCAGGGAAGAAGAAGCCCTAAGAACACATGAACGAAAAAAGTTTTGTGGACCAAGTGCAAGTGTAGATGTATCCTTAAAGTGCTAACAGGGATAGAACCTAGATCAGGCTTGGGCAAAATACAGCCTGCCGGCTGTATCCAGCCCACCACGCCACCGGATCTGCCCTTGGAGGCAGCGGGGAGTCCCAGGCAGGTTCCCCCGCAGCCCTGCACCCTGTGCAGAAATGCGGCTGCTGGGCTCCATTTCTGTTTTAAAACTGGAGGGGAGGGGGGAAGTTTTAGGAACCACCCTGCCTACAGCCCATTCCTATTGGCTGGTTTCTGGCAGACCCTGGCTCCATTTCTGTTTTAAAACTGGAGGGGAGGGGGGAAGTTTTAGGAACCACCCTGCCTACAGCCCATTCCTATTGGCTGGTTTCTGGCAGACCCTGGCCAATGGGAGCTGCTTATTAGAATAATAAGGAGCTAAGAAGAACTCTCCTGGCCTCAGTTATTCATGAAGCATATGGCCAGGCAAGCAGGCAGGCCGGCTGGAACATTTTAAGCTCTGCAGGCAGACAGACTAGTTTGGCAGCTGACAAGTAAGTCTCTTGGCCACAGCCTGCTTCTGGCACCCCAGCCCTTTCCTGCCCCAACTCTCTGCCCCCCAACTCAACATACCCAAACCCTCTGTCCCCCTCTTACACCCATATCCCCTCCCAGATCTGGCATCCCAGTCTCCTGCCCCAGATCACAATCCCCTCCTACCCAGGTCACGTCCCAAACCCCTGCATTCCAGTCCCCTGCCCTAGGTCACAACCTCCTGCTTCATCCCAACTCCCTCCCAGACTCCATTCTCCCTCCTGTACCGTGGTCCCTTACTCAAACGCCTTTATGCACCCAGCCTCCATCCCACATCCCGCATCTCCATTAATATCCTGGAAGAGTGCAGCCCTTGACCACTTCCCAAAATCTTGGAGTGGCCCCCCCTGCCAAAAATTATTGCCCACCCCTGACTTAGACGCTTTTGCTCCAAAGCCACAAGTGAAAAGAGAACCTGCCTTTAGCTGTTAGCATTAGAGGGCCTGTGGCACAGAGCTCAGAAGGTAACTGGTACACATGCATGATAACCAACATGGTTCAGTGCTGCCAAATTTAGCTTAAAAATAGTTTTTTGGACAGGAAATCTCAGTGAAATTGTCATCCCAGAAACAGACAGACCAGCAACTTCTCCAAGTTTCTTTCCCATACAGTTAGCTTTATTCAGACTACGCATTAAGACTATTAGTGTGAGGAATTATTTGCAAGAGACAGCCCACATCACACAGATGCTTTACACTTTCCGTCCTTGACATGAAAATGTAAAATTCACATTAAAACAAACCCATTTCAACAGCCAGTCCTCTATGATTTTGGGGTTTAATCCAGGCAGGGGAAGTACCAGTTTCAAGCTCTCCCATGATGTGAACACATGGATAATTCTTTCCCCTTAAGAAATACACACACATTCTTTGTTTCCACCTTTCTCTTCCTATGCAGACGTCATCTTGATGCTGTAGACTGCTATTTTCAATTCCTCACAAGGATAGCAATCTTGCAATGGGCAGCTGTTGGGAAGACGTGTGTCACCCTGGAAGGAAAGAGACATTGAAGTTGGCCTGCAATAGCAGCTTTTAAAAATCTGTTTAGATCCTCCCTAAGGAGGAGGAAAAGAGATGAGAAATGCCACAATGTCTATGTAAATGCCCACCTGAACCTCCCGCTGCTCAGACTGGGCCAATGCTTTCCTTTATTAGGACCAAACCCTGACCTCTCCGGACCACGTCCAGGTTAAACCTCTCTAGTCCAGCACTCTCTGGTCTGGCAACATCCCTTGTTCGGCATGATGTCAGACGAATGTCCGCTTATCATGGGTGTGGCCAAGTTTCCCGCCATCCAAGTTTCCTGCCATCCCATAAAATTTGTTTACAGCCACCAGTCCTGGCTCTCAAAGTTCTGTGCTGTTATTTAGCTCGAATTTACCCGTAAATGTCTTCTAAATGCCCACTAAGCAGTGGAAATGTTGGTAGTGCTAGTAGACAATATTGACCTCCCGGGGTGTGGCAACCTCTCTGGCTCAGCACCAGTCAGGTCCCGGGAGTGCCGGACTAGAGAGGCCTGTACATCAGTTTTGAGCATCGGTTCTACTTGGGTGATGTGAAGGGGACAGAAATCCCATTGCTGCCTTCTCAGCTAG